ACGTTACTATTATTAATTATTCTTAGAACAATTTAACCTTTATAATTGTCAATTTTTTTGCATTTTGTAATGTGGCCTGTATAATTGCACTGTTTCATGTTTCTCCCATTTTAAGTTGATCAACCCTGCTGAAACTTTTGGCGACATAGTTATCGATTACCTGTAAGTTCCTAGCTTACATTTTTTGTATAAGTCAGTTTTTTATAATTGATTACATTCTGATTTGATGTTTATGGAGTGGCAACATAGGTATGTTGAATGCACCTCAACAGCAATTTAGGCACTAGCCTCATTCAGGAAATTATATCCTGAACATAGAACAGAAGAAATTCAAAATTGTATTGGTAGAGCTATTGGGTTTATAAAAAAAGATGCAGGCAGAAGATGGCTTCTGGTTCGTTTAGAACTATTCCATAATCTATATCTTTTACGTGTTTACTTTGTAATTATTTGTCTTTACAGATTCTGCTACTTCGAGCAATTCTTCAACATGGCAAACTCAGTATCCATTGCTGAAGAACTTGCTTTGTGCTGTCATTTTTTGCTAGGTATGGATCCTAGGGCATCTGCTTCAGTTATGCAGGATTCATTTACTTATAAAAAAGAGATGCAAAGTAAGAAGTTTGATACTTGATTTTAGGAATTTACTAATTTAAATATTGATTCTTTATTCTTATGAATTTATATTAGAATATTTATTTTTCTTAATTTTTTTATTTCCTTATTCAATAATCCTAATTTATGGTCACAAAGATTATAAATCCAATAAATATGTAATGTCGTATGGTTATTTTTTCTTAGGCGATAAAGTATAACAAAAGGCCTTTTGGTAACGGTTTGAAGTATCATCCTATAAATATGATAATTGTTTGAGGTTTTCAATAAGAATTTACTTAGAGCATTAACAAAAGCTCAAGTACGGACTCATCGCGGCTATTACAGGAACTGCTGGCTATGTTGGTTATCTCTCTTACAGTAAGTCGTTTTTCTTTTGATTAAGATTGGGTCATTTGTGATTTAATTTTTATTACAATTTAAATGTGGGTTTTTAATATGATTAAAAAATGTATATGTTTTTTAAAAAATTTAATTCGTTTTACAGAGTGTTCCTACGAGGAAGTAGATCAGAAGGCAAAGGCATTGCGGGCTACTGCAAATTTTACTCCTAGTGAAGATGCATCTGTTGTTGATGTATGTTTGAGTTTGTTTGGAATTTTATCATTTTTAAATGAATTTTCTCATTTTAGCTTAGTATTTGAATAATGTTGTTCTAATTGTTCAATCTTTTTTAGTCAAATTACCTTTACAAGAAATTGTTCTAATTGTTTACCATTTAATTCTTCGATTTGAATTTTGTAGGAATGATCTTGCGGATGGATTACTGGAGAGGCTTTAAGTAGCAAATTTCTGGTTGCCGGTCTTGAGGATATTCATATATCATGTGTTTCTTAGTGTTGGTAGGACTTTTTTTATGTGTTTTAATCAAATGTCCTAAACATTCTCTTACATAAGCAGTATTTTGGTGTCTAAACTTATGTAATGTCTAGCTTGATGTTTCAGTACCGACCGAAGATTTATTTATTTAACTTGGATGTTTGTAAAATTTGATTTTTTTTATATTTTTATGTATTCATACTTAATTAGAATCGTAATGAAATTTAAGATGGTTATTGGATATTGTTACAGCTTCAATTTGAGTAATACAAAATTGGAAGAAGATATGTTGAGAAGCAGTTTCAATTAGCGGCGTTTGTTCTAAAAACGCCGCTATAGATCTGACCTTTTGCGGCGTTTGTATCAAAATTGTATTGAATCAAGTCTAATAATATCCAATTAATTCACGGACAACTTGTTACTTTTTTAATAAATTTTAAATATTATATTTCTCTTATTTTTATTGTTTATTGTTGAATTTTTGTTTCAAAAATGATTGTAATAAGTTAATTTGGTATGCTTGTGATTGTTACTTTGGTTGTAATTAGTTAATATTTGTGAATTATCACTGTGAGTTTAAATTTTGGGATTTGATTCACCCATTATTTTGATCATTTTTGTTAAATTTGTTAATTTATGTTTATATTAAGTTATATATGGTATGACTAGATTTTACATATATTTTAAAAAATAGAACAAAAATTTTGATGAATTTAATGGGAAACAAGTCAAACAATCAATTTTCAAATTTATTTGGTATTGAATCAAATTGAATCGAATACGAGCCGGATAATTTTTAAATCAAATCGAATACGAACTGAATAATTTAATGAAAAATCAGTTGTCAAATTTTTTGAATTTATTGAGTCTTAAATCAAATCGAATTGAATACAAGCCGAATAATTTTTTAATCAAAATCAACACAACTGAACTCGTAATCTAACTGACAAAACAATGCTACGTTGCTAACAAACCCTAAATAACACTTGCCTTACTGCATCTCAACAGCTTTTTTTTCTTCTTTATAACTTTTGTAAATTTTATTAATTAATCCAAATTTTTTCTTTAATTTAATTGATGGTGATACCGATTTTAATGTTGGTTGTCATCCACCAATTATCTTTTTTCTTTTAATTTTTTTAATAAGAATAATTATGTTTTTGTGACATGTTATCTGATTTTGTGGCATATTTTTTCTCTATTTTTTGGTAGTTTACGGTTTTTTGCCGTTGTTTTTGCTTATCTTTTTTTTCATGGTTGTATTTGACATTGTCGTAATTGATCAAGATGACGCTTATTTGTTATTATGATGCTCTTCTCTGCTTTGGACCCTCAGATTGATTTGGATACACGTTTTAGTTTTCTCATGTTGCTTGACTCTGATTTGCGATTTGTCGGTGACCTTCAGTAGCTTCATCTTCTTTTGTGGTTTGTTAGCCGATACAATCATATTTATTTGTATCATTATTTTGTTCGAGCATTGGTTAGATTTTTTAATTTTTTTTTTGTTTTTGTGTGATCTAGGTAACTAATATTTTGTGTCAATGGTTATAGGAAAATGTATTAATTATAATTTTGTTTACTTTTACGTTATAATTGTAAATATTTATTGTAATTCTGGATATTTTTTATTTTTAATAAAAATAGCGGCTTTATGTAAAAAAATCACAAACATATCATTTAATTAAAAATATTATTATAAATATATCATCCTATCTGTTAAAATTAAAACGAACTTTGATCTCGTATAATAATACTTTTAATCTTAAAATCAAATGAGTTGATAATTGTAATAATGCACCCTTCTCGAACCCCCCCCCCAAATTCCATGGAACTTCCATTTAAATAATAATAAAAATGAACCAAAATTACATTAACTTATAAACCAAACTATACGAGAATTAATTCACAAATAACTTTTTACATCTTAGCACGTATAAAACGAAAACAAGAGAAAACAAAAGTACAGAAACATAATGAACAAACCCTAGAAGACGAAGTGGTCAACATTGAGCAAATTGACAATGGAGTGGATCTAAGGGGCAGGTTTGCAAAGCGGTTCAGTTTCGGGTTGGTCATGGACAAGCGGCTTGGTGAGGACGAGAGGAAGATCATAATAGACTTCCTCATCCTCATCAAAATCTGAGATTCATACAGGAGCACCGCTCCAACGATGCAAAAAAAATGCAGAGGCCATGCTGTTGCCCACCCAATTAGCCATACCATCTATCTTATGAAGCTGCATCGCCTGATTTGATCAAACTATTCAGATGAGATTATTAGACCGTCTGATTTGAATCTTTCATGTCAATTGTTACCACTGGATCAGATTTTTTATTTACAGACAAATGTCAGTTGTCTACCCTTCTTTATGACACTGGAACAATGAACTTGAAAACCGAAGCTAGTGTTTAGGGTCATTATCTATCCTAATATGTAAAAAAAAAGTAATTTCGTGCACGGAAGTCTTAAATCACTAGGTTTGGAGATAATAAAAAATATATGCCAACGTCGGCCATTTCCGAAGAAGCTGTTTCTAGGAAACTCCGAGACCAGACAAGTGTGGGGAACGGTCGTGTCTGAACTACCCTTGGGATCACATTATCAAAGGATGATGTTGATACTCGCACAAGCTGCCAATGAAAAGTTGTTTCAAGTTCAAGCATTTTCCACGCGATGCCCCTCAGCCAATGGGCTTGTGAAGAATGTCTTTTTAAATACTCCTAGTCATCGAATGGATCAAAGAAGCCGGTGGTAGAGATCATTCCCTAAAAATTTTTAAAACTCTCATATAATTTAAATATTTTCTTTGTATTTACAATTGACAAAATATTTTCTCTCTTAGAATTTTATAAAGTCACTCTTAACATAAAATTGAATGTCCGCTCCTGCTCCTAGTCCTAGGCCTGAAAGCTCTATATAGCCCGGAATGAAAACGGTGCACCTAGAACAAATTCCTGGCAGTCGAGTCAAACAAACAAGCCAGGTAACGCCAAAATGTTGGTGACCCGTACTTGGACTGCATGCATATAATGCAAAAACTCAAGAACAGATCGGGAGATCTATAATTTCCAAACAAAAGCAATGATATATATAAGTAAGAAAGTATGATAAACCCTTGAGATAAAATATGAAAAAGATGCACCACGTTTTATGCTGATCAATACCATTTAGTCCAACTATACGATCCTTATTTTTTGTGTGGAAATCAACGGCATTCAAGTAACTAGATTAAACATGTATATAAAATATAATATAATGGAGGAAAAAAATACAATTAGGAGGGAAAACATAAGGCTGGCAACTCGTAGGTCAGAAGTTGTAGTGAGATATTCTGTGAGACAGTGACTAAAGAGAGGCAATTCTAACACTAACGATGCTGTTAGGTCCACTGTCCTAACAGTGAGTTCCACATTTTTCAACATTAATGCCGGTATCGTGATCCTGTCTTCAAGCGGCAGCCTAACCTTCCCAGCACTAACATTTGAAAATTTAGGTCCTACAAACAAACAAAGCAGTGCCCTATATCTCCCACCGTCTTCCTTAACCTTATATAGACATTGCTTTGCTTCACATTAAACAATGTACTCCTAAAAAAATGGGTTTAGAATCTGTTTCAAGAGTCAGAACCCATCAACCATGTGCTGCTTGTAGGATGCTACGCAGGAGATGCGACAGTAGTTGCATTCTTGCCCCATATTTCTCATGCGATGAGATTGACAAGTTCGCCAAGGTGCACAAGGTTTTCGGTGCTAGCAATGTAATCAAAATGATTCAGGTTGGTAATAATAAATTGAATCTGCACTTCTGCAGTTGAGACATCCATCCATATTTTCATCATATTTGTTTCTACTTTCTGATACCAGATTGTGGAGGAAAGAAACAGGGAGGATGCTGTGAAAGCGCTGGTGTATGAAGCAACAGCGAGGATCAGAGACCCTGTTTATGGCAGCACCGGAGCTATTTGCCAACTGCAAAAGATGGTGCAAGAACTTACGATGCAGCTTGAATCAACGAAAGCTCGGGTGTTGGAGTTGAAGCAGCAAAAAGATGAGTTTTTGGGCCTTCTTGTGAATGTTAATTATCTTGATCTCCTCTCCCCCGTTAATGGAGGCAGCTTCTCATTAAATTACGATGACTCTATGGCATATGATCTAGTCAAGTTCCCTGCAGATTGCGATAGCTGGATCATTTAAGGGTTAGAAAACCCATATGGTTTGCTGGTATATCGAAGTTATCTTCTTCAGTATAAGCCTATGAACTGTATAACTTCAAAGGAATACATATTAACGTATCGTATCATTGATGAAAATTTGAAGTTGTTTGTTTTGCTGGGCGTAGTCTTTCTTTCTTCTTCCCAGTTCTACACCCCATTGAAGATTAAAGGTAGAAATTTCAGTACAATCAATCATGTCAAGAAGAAAAGCCTGAAAATAAATTTCCACACTTCCCTAAGACGATTCCAACGAACCCACAGTCAAAATCCCTTTTCCAATCGTAGGAACCGTTCATTGACGTTGATGCACGTTAAAAGTTAAATAGATTCGGAAATATTTTATATATAATATTAATTTTTTAAATTATTGTAATTCTTAATATTTTAATTTTAATTAAAATTACTATTTTTTTATATACAATGCCGCTAATTTTATTAAAAATAAAAAATATCTTAAATTACAACGAATATTTACGAGCATAACCGTAAATGTAAATTAAATTATAATTAGGATATTTTCCTAAAAATTAACCACCTAGATCATACAACGACCATAAAAGGAAAAGATTAAAAAATAAACAATACTCGAACAAAATAAAATATGAATAAATTTGTCTGCATCGACAAACGAACCACAAATGATAGTGGCCAATTGTACTAATAGTGGGTAAATCTGACTAAATCAACAAATCTAACTGCATCGATAAACGAACCACAATAGCTATAGTGGCCACGGTTGAAATCTTTTTAACGGAAAAAAAGTACGAAGCACAGTTACACCAATAATAATATATCTGAAGTGCAATTTAATGAGTAGTGAGCAATTGTACTAATAGTGGGAATTCCCTATATTGTTCAGTAGTTGGAATTTTAGATATAAATGGTCATACCAGTAAAATCATGCAAGTTAGTATTCACCCCTACGTTTGTGAAGTTGATTTGGCTGTTTCACTGGATTCTAATGGGCTACTTCTGTTTTGGTCTCTTCCTAATGATTCAAATGGTATTATTGACTATCCAACATTGGTTCCTGCATGGAAAATTTGTGGAAAGCATGTAACTCAAAATAAATGTTCTAATATACAAGCTTGAGTTGGGCACCTTTAGTATTGGCTGAAGATTTCTTCTTCTGGGAATGTTGGAGTTGACTGCTTTGCAGTAAAGAATTTTCGTGGTGAAGATGGTATAGGATGTTACTGCACATGCACTATACCTTTTACTGGTCCAACCAACATATAGGGATGGGCATGAGACCCGACCCGACCCGATCGGGTTGTTTTTTTTTAAAAAAATTGGGTTCGGTTCGGGTCGGGTCAGGTTTGGGTTTTGGGTGAAAAATACCCGACCCGAACTGACCCAAAAAATATATATAAATTTACATTATGTATTTAGTAATAATTACAATAATACCTCTATATACATTTTTTTCAATTAAGTCACTGTTTTTATTAAATAAAAATAATATATTTTTTATTATTTCGGGACGGGTTGGGTCGGGTTTCTAAGTTATATATCGGGTTGGGTTCGGGTTGGGTGAAATCTTGTTTTGATCGGGTCGGTTCTCGAGTGGAGGATCCCTTGTTATCGGGTCGAGTCGGGTGGACCAAAAACCCGACCCATACCCATCCCTACCAACATATGTACACTACAATTGTCTTTATCTTTAATAAATATATGTCCAGTTTAGGTACTAAAATTATCAAAATTGATAGTTTAAGTATTAAATATGTAATTTATCCCTTTATATTTTAGACGTCATTTTTTACCTTAGTTATCAAAGTCAATTTTTTTTTTTTTTATATATTGAATATTTAAGGTATTTTTAATTTAACTATTAAAATTTTGAAATATATATTCTAATTATTAAAATTTTAATTTATTTTTATTATAATTATTGTCGTTAGCAATATCGACGTGACATGTTAAAGTTTTAATTTTATTTAAAAAACTATAAGATTCTAAATTAAATGTTACAACCAACACTAAATTTATGATGAACATAATGGTGGATGATCAATCTCAACAGCATAAAGAATTTGTTTAGCATATTAGAAAGTTTGATTAATATAGTTTGATTTAAAGTTGATTCGACATTTAACGTTGACATATTAGAAATTTTATATTTTAATTTTGATTAAGATTTACTTGGAACATTGAAAGGTTTTTGATGGTTTTAAACCAAAAGAAATAAAAGAAGAAGAATGGTTTGGCGATCTTTTCGACTAGTAGAATCATCAAATAACGAAGAAAGGAAGCAACAATCTATTAAAAAAACTAAAAGTTTAAATTTTTTAATCTATCACTATTAACTGTCAGATCAACATAAATCAATTTTTTTATCTTTTGACTAAATGGAGCATTTTCATTGTTAGGATTAACAGAAAACTACTAGGGACCTCATCTTCATACTCGCTAATATTTTCGTATTATCACTAATTTACACCCACTCACGTAGATATATTCTTAAATTCATCCCTACACCCACTACCTAATTGGATATCCAATACTCATCCCGTACCCACCACCCATCCCAACAAAATGTGGTCATTAGTCAAGTAAAAAAATTGATTCTAAAGATTAAGAATTTGAGACACGAGAAATGGTAGTCTAAAACTATTTATATCTTAACATTTGGTTAAGTTATAATTCATTTCTATAAAATCTTAAGATTTACATAATAGTCTTTAAAATTATACCTAAATTCATAATAGTCCACAATTTATATGGTGGATAGTTAGTGAGGGATGAATGTCGGGTGGGCGGGTGGATGTGGGACGATTAAGGTCTCAAACCCATCACCTATCCACTACCTATGGCGGATATGTCTTTTTACATCCACACTGCCTCACTATTCACTAAATTTATACTCATCCCCGTCCCAATTGATACGAGTGTGATGCGAAATCCACAAAATTATACTCGTCTATCATCTTATCGCCATTCCATTAATAAAAAAATCGACTTTTACAACGATTAACAATTTGCAAAAAAAATAGAATTTTTTGAGGAGAAAGACTACATGTTAGCATTTTCTCACTACAGTTAACAATAATGACCGTAATGAAAGTGAAAAAAAATTTAGTGGTTTTAATGTAATATTATAGAGTTCAGTACCTAAAATGAGAATATCCATCCGGTGACCAAAAATAGAATTTATCCTTAATATATTTGCTATTATTTGATAATTACAAGATTGAGATGTATTAAGAAAAAAGTTGCCTTGAATATAATATAGATTTGAACCCTTATCTTATAAATATTATTGGGACCCACTGCCAACCCTCTCCCCTTGATCCCCGTAATCAATTCCCAGATGTAACTCGATCAACAGTCAACACCCTACGGAAGTGACACGTCATATATCTGCATGAAACGCTGTCGTTTGATCTTACATTCCTCGTTTTAACCCAAAAAAAATTCTGTAAACTTTCGTGCAGAAAAACCAGACATGTACTTAAAATTCTGATAACTGAAAACCAAAAAGCCCGAGAAAAAGAACAAAAAAGAGCACCAATTTCCTAGAAGATTGTCCTGTCTTGCTCTTCAGTTTTCCTCTTTATCCATCGAAATCAAACGGCTTCTTTCACCTTCTCGTTTTGGCCAAGAACCGTTTCTTTTACTTTACTTCTGAACTAGATCTATGCAGTTACCACTTTCCCACCTCTTTTCCATTTTTCTTCTTTCTGGGTTAGTCATCTTTCTCTTATTTGATTGATCAAAGCTTTATTTTTTTTATTTTTTTCTTTTTGGGTACGTTTTGTTTGTTGAATTATGATGTACTATTCAACCTTGTTGCGTGTACAGTTAATCTTCTTTTCTTTGTATACTTTTGTGGTCCTTCTCGGTTTTCTTTCCTTCTTCCTTACACTGTTTTATTTTCATTTATTAACTTTGCTGTAGGTTTTTGTGTGTGTGTGTTTTGGATGATTTCATGAATGACGCTGTGGGTTAAATCAACTTTTGAAGTTCGATCAAGTTGTATTGCTTGCTTTTCTAGATGTATGATTTTCTGTTTCAAACTTGCTAATTTGTTCAGATTGTGAAGTATGTATGATGTTTAGGCTTTTGTGTTGTTCTCAGATGAATAAGGGTTTGGATTATCTGTTATTTGTTTATTGATCATTTATAGAACTTTAAGGGTTCGGTAAGGGAATGCATTTGGATTGGTTCTTATTTATATGTTTGTCAACTGAGAAAGTTATTTGCCTTAAAACATGTCCTGTTGGCTGGTGATTATGTGGCTGATTTAATGATGAAGGTTTAGGAATTTCTTATTTCTAATGAGTGTAGTTATCTTTAACAGCTAAATGTGTAGCAGAGAAGGCTAGTGATGGCAGCAGCTGAAGCAAGGGCCGTGTGGCAAAGGACAGCTAATCGCTGCTTCGTCCAAGAGGATGCCAAAAGAGCTCCCAAGTTAGCTTGCTGCCAGTCATCCTCTTCCACTAATCAGGCCGATTCAAGCCCCACTGATGCGGCAGATACGAATCATCATCCTTCAACAGGTTTCATGCCTCTCAACAGGAACCCTTCCTATTCCAATCTACCCCCAGATACGAGGTGGTGGCTTCAGCTGCAGCCTAGCTATGGTCCCCAAATGGGTTTAACACATGAGCAATTGAATGCCTTGGAGGATGAGGTGGAAAGCTTGAAAGCCGTAATAAACTCATCCTCCAAAGTAAGTAGATCTTATCAGCAGGATTCACATGATGTTTCTCTTGATTCAAAGATGACAATGGAGAACTGGGAAGTCTTGGATATGGAATTTGTTGAATGTCATGCTTGCATGAAAACAAATGACTTCTGTTATGAACCAGAGTCTCCCTGGTCTGACCATGGGAAGGCCGAGCCATGGTGGCGGAAGACAGACAAAGACGAGCTGGTCTCCTTGGTTGCACAAAAGTCACTTGATTATATCGAGAATTGTGATCTTCCCCCACCTCAGAATGTGAATGTAAGGAAGTACTCACATGCATGCTCTGGTTCTTTTGACAGTGGTGAAGTATCATCTTTGGTTTGGAAGCCCCAAAAAGTCCCGGTTTACAGTTCGGTAGTTAATGCACCGATGTCTCCTGATTCTATAAGAAAACTTGGAACACAAATGGCTTCAGTTGGAGAAGGGCAGATTCAGTGTGCTTCCGATACCTCGTCCAGGTATTTATTTTTATCAAATCCATTGATCCATTATGTGAATGGATAGGTAAAAAAAAGTGTCCAAATGGCTTCTTAGATGAGCAATATTGTTTTACATTTCTAATCAATCAATAATTAAAGATGAAGCTATTATTATATGTTTGTTGAACTTTATTTACTTCATTTTTATAGTACGAGTACAACCAAAAAGGATATCTTAGAGCAAGTTACAGAGTCCAATCCTACCAAGGCTCAGCTGCTAGAAGCACTTTGTCACTCACAATCACGTGCAAGGGAAGCCGAGAAAGCAGCAAAGCAAGCCTATGCGGAGAAGGAACATGTCATCAGGCTTGTCTTCAAACAAGCCTCGCAACTCTTTGCCTATAAACAATGGTTCCAAATCCTGCAGCTGGAAGCCCTTTATGTCCAGATCAAGAACAACGAGCAGCCTCTAGTCCTTCCGTGCACACCCTACAAAAGCCAGAAAATGCAGAAGGGCTGGCAAAAGACCGGAAAAGAGAGACGGGGGAAGCGAGGCCGACCTAGACCAGACATAACCAGGTATGCTGTTGCTTTAGCATTGGGACTTGGTCTTGTTGGCGCTGGTTTGCTGTTGGGATGGACCGTGGGGTGGATGCTACCTTTGTAGACCATGAAGGAGTTCATCCACTGCGCCAGAAGATTCGAAGAATGGTCGATTACTCGGATAATACCTGCTTTCCATGGATATGTGGAGTCATTTTCGACTTGATTTTACATGTATTAGGTCATGTATACTGTATGTAAGCAATTTGTCTTTCACTCTTTTATAGTCGTCTTTGTTTCTTTGAGTGCGTAAATGATACGATGGCTGTTGTAGGTATATTGGGTGAAAATTTCCTGAGACAAAATGTATCTCAATAATAAGTCCATACGAAATTGTTCAGTACCTATAAACCCAACACTTCCTGGATTTTGAAACCCATTCTTCGATCTTAGTAGCTTTGGAATGGTGGTGATTTTATGTATCCAAGACACCTTTTCTTTTTCAGGTACAAGATCCTATTTAAATGTAAATCGCGTCAAGTATTATATCGTTTTTGGTACACTCCAAATCATCAAATGTAAATAAAAAAGGATTAATTTTCGAGAAGGTCTAATCCTTAAGTGTGTACGTTACCCGGTTCTCCTCTTGCTTTACATAATGCATTTTAACATTCGGGGAATTCGTAAAAATAGCTCATGTCTTGTTGAGATGGCATTGCCTTTTACGGTCACTTGATCCCATCCGTGTTCGGTCAAAAACAGCAGCCTCGGTCAATTCGGCAGTTTTCGAACCCGAGACTTCTAGCCTCCGTTAATTTAGCAGTGTGCGAACTTGTGCATATTTTTATAATATTTTATAATTTATGTTATAGTTATTATATTTTTATAAAATAAATATAATTAATTCTAGTGATAGTTTGGTTTAATAGTTAATATTTGTACTTTTTTATTAGGAGTTTAAATTCCTTCATATTATAGTTTGGTTTATTTGACACATTTTTATTTACTAATAAAATGTTGATACATACTATTATATTGTTAAAAAATTAATTTTTAAATTGATAATTGTTATGGTATAATAATAAAACTTGAAGATTAAAACATTTTAAAATGAATAGGGTTAAAGTAGATATTCAACCAAATATTAAAGACTGTTTAACATTATTTTTAAGATTATGCCATTTTAATTTCATAAAAGAGGGGGGCCGTCTAGTTTATCGATTCTTATTGTTTGCTGTATTCATCGGAGAACATTCACAGAGTTGCTTTCAAAAAGGAGTCGGTGAAAGCAGGGGAAAAAACGGTTAGAGATGCCGGTGATGGAGAAGCTGAAAATGTTCGTTGTGCAAGAGCCAGTTGTCGCTGCTTCTTGCGCCATCGCTGGTTTTGGTGCATGTTCTTCCTTTTTTTTTCTTTAATCTAATCAATCGCCCTTCTAATTATCTATCGTGTTTCATATCAATCTTTTCTTTATTGTTCTTTGATTACTAATCCCTAATATTTTGTTGTTTGGTTATCAATGATTTGAATTTGGGAAAAACTTAGGGTTTATTATTATTATTATTATTATTTTAAATCGTCTAGGCTTTTAATCCAACACTTTTTTTTAATTATCTCAAATTTCTTACATGGGATTCTTTCAATCTTTGGTTTCATTGTTGATGGGTTGCGGAAGGTGAATCAAAGTTAAATGCTTCAGACTTTAGGAGATACTTTGGACAATATACTATTTTTTTTTCTTTTTCTATAAATTTATGCCCTTTTGACTATGTCATAGCAAACACTGCTGGAATTTCTGAAGCTCAGTTTATAAATCATCCAATGTATAATCTGTACGTACGAAGTGGGAATTTCTATGTTCAATACCAATGTGGTTGAAGTAATGATGTTTCATAATAAAAAGAATAGTAGTAGTTTTTGGGGAAACAATAGTTGAGACTCAGGAGTTTTCGGAGTTGCTAGCCTGAATCTATCTGAAGAGAGAAATACTATTTTGTGGCATCATTCCTTTTTCTTTTTTTTATTAAATTTGTGTTTGAATTTACGTTGCTTTCTCCCCTCTTTGACCTCGAACTTTTGTAAAAAAATATGCAGGTCTCTTCCTACCTGCTGTTGTAAGGCCCATTCTGGATTCTTTGGAATCGTCAAAGCAAGTCCCTCAGCCTGCTTTAAAAGATGTAAGTTTAGTACTTAGCAAGATGGTTCATTTTTAAAGTATTCAAGATATTCTTTTAAGAAAGAAATTTTGGGATTGTTTTCCTGGGTGTCGGAGAGGGTATTATCTAATTGTGATCCTAGTTACTGGGTAGGTTTTTTTTCCTTGACATGGAAATTTCTCATCCATGGCTGCAGTTATTTATGACTATCTTTGAAATTGATGGATAATTTGAACAACTAATGACAATGGTTTAATCAGGCTTTTGTCATTAAAAACCCTTATGCAACTTAGAACACTCATTCTAGCTGGCACTGAGGAGTTTTGTTTTCGGAAGATCTTCCTTAAATTTAGCTTGTTCTAGTTCGATGACAAATTTGATTGTGCTGTTGGTAAATTATATGCATTACTCATCTAGTTATAATGACTGATTGGTATCATGAAGAAAAGTAAGAACCACTGCATAAGTTTTGCAGATTGTAGTTGTTATTTGCAAATAAGATGAGGTCAGGTTTATTTTACCCTTGTATTATCCGTTTGTGCTTCTTTAAGAAAAAAAATAGACTAGTCACAATTGGCTTGTTGGAGTTGTCATGCCTATGAAAGACAACGGCTATATAAGATCATTAGAATGCACTTCAATATTCTTTGAGTTTGGATATCCAAACACTTGGGATATGCGAAGTGGAGCTGAGTTCTCCAGAGGACATTTCCAGCCTTGGTTATGCCAGTGTTCTTTTATTTGTTATTGCTTTCAATATACTGATACGTTTCCATTGTTGTAGGTGGTTGCAGGTGTGACTGGTAAAAAGCAGGGTTGATTTGATTTGTGGATTGGAAATTAGCAAAAATATTGAATGTAGTTAGCAATGTGATCAGCAACAAAATAAACCCGACTTTTTAAGTTGAACTCTTAAAGATTGACTTGTGCCTTCAACCTCGTCTTTAGCACGAGGATTTGATTGTTGTTTTGTTTTGATTTTCTACAGTTGAGGATTGCTCAAAGCATGGATAATTCATGTCAGAGTTGAATATTGTTTCCCTGCAATTAATGTTCTTTCTTTGGTTGATATACTCCCTTTGTGCCCCTGTTGTTTCACTAGTCTTATGAATATTAACAATGTGCAGATGGTGTGTTAAGACATCGCTGAATTGTACCTTCTTTAGCCTTATATCTAGAACTACTAGAAAAAAGGACGCATGGAGGAGCCATCTTGTATAAAGTAAGACAAAACTTCAGTTAGGCTTCTTAATTAGTTCTAGTAGGGTAAACAAGAGTAACTTGGGAACTTTGTTATCGGCAATATTGGGATCATTTCTTAAACTGGATAGATGCACCAAAACCCTATTTTAGTGGATATCCCGTCGGGCTGCCGTTGTCGTAAATTTATACAAATAGATACAGAAGCCGAAATACAAATAGATACAGAAGCCGAAAGAACGGACGTTAACGGTGAGACCGAACAAACTACTTCGGAAATGTTAAATATAAGAGCTAAGCCATAAATTTCACATCGTTACAAAATTTTCAACTTCCCACTGCCTTGGGTTGATAAGGATGGCATGCATATACATTAATTGCTGCCATAGGCAGACGCATCCAATAAAAAGTTAGCTGAAAACAACCCCCCAGCCCCACAACTAGAGAAGAAACATAATAGTAATTGGCTTTGATTACTCATTTCCATTCACCGCAAGATGTCAACTCACTGCCTCGGAAGGATTGGAAGATAGCAGCCTGGCCTTGCAGTGCAGGTAATTTAGTAAATTGTTTGTACTTGTATCGTGGGAAAAAATGTCAGCCCATAAATCTATCCTTCTTTTCCCTCTTACTCCATGGAACCACTTTCATTAAGCCTTCGTAGATACTTTCCTGTCATATCCAAGCAACAAATCAACAGCTTTCTGGATGTTGTAGAACAAGAATTAAAACAGAGTCGTTGGATAAAATGCCCATAAAGCTTACTGGAGTAGCACATTATTGTGAATTCATCAATAGTAAAAGTACATGCTTGATTGTGCTTTCAAGCAAGGAGAATTTTATTTAATAATATTCCATAGTGCCATCAAAGGATCGGGAACCCAATTTGTACAGAGTTTGTTAATTTTTGGTTGAACTTAAGTGTATGGGGTGTGATTGGGTACTGAAAATAAGCAAAGAAAATGAGAGAAAAACATACCCAGAAGTGGGACTTGGAATGAGAGAGAATGGGAAAGCTGTCAGTCCTTGTGATTCCAGTGATCTTAACACTGTCGGTGCCACTGCTGTCTTCTCCTTTGTCTCTGCTGCATTCACTGCCACCATCACCAGAAGCTGCAAAGACGCAACTATTGCCAGTAACTTCTCTTCTAGGTCTACCCTTCAAGGCTCTTCTCCTCCAAGAACCAAGGAACCCTTTCTCTTTGTACCCTCTCTTGCCGAGAACCATAGTCCCAAGCTGCACCATGTCAGGACTAGCACTTCCAGAAGATCGAAACGATCCATAACACTCGCTTCCCATTCTGAAAGAAGAAGACTGAAACCTAGCCCTGCCTATGTAAGGACCTTCCAAGACCGTGGTGGGTGAGGAAAGTTTGGTAATCTTGGCATCTAGCAGCAACCTAGGAGGAAGTTCCAGGCACTTCCGAGGAGACTCATTCGGAGCAGAAGAAAAAGTGGCGAGCGTAGTACACGGCTTCGGCTTTCCCGGCTCCTCTTCCCAGGTAAATGGGACCGAGGCTGCCGATACGTAAAGTGGTGGGCTTAATGTCCCTGATCTTTCCGGCGACTGCTTTTGCGCATGTGAAACTGATAACAGCGGTAGCACCGGCATGTAGCTCGATTCCTCCTCTGCTCCCATGGTTTCTCTCTCTTTACCTTCCTCTGCTAATCTAAATCAATAATGCCAATTATAATATATATACATACAAAAGTAACGTATGAAAAGGGGAGACAAAAGGAAGCAAGGAAGGTCCAAGTGAGAAAAAAAAAGGCAGGCTGTCAAGTAAATCAGTCGTCGCTATCTAGACAAGGCTATCCAAAGGGCGTCCTCTTATTGTTGCTATGAGCTCTCTACTTGAGCATGATCTTATGATGTATTGATGTTAGCATTTTTTATGCAATTTAGAAGGTGTTGACTAAGGCACCAAACTCCCCCATTTGTAAATGAAACAAAAAGGGTGGTGAATAAAATATCAAGATTAGACGATGAGCAGTAAAAGCACTTAAAGGAAGCAATAATCTACTTTGCGGTGATCTCAGCTTTATTCAGCTGTTGCCTGCTGCATGCTTTGTCCTTCATTCAAATTAAGATATGTACAGCACCAGCCCCCATAACAAATTTGGGAAATATATGTACATATGTTCTGTTTTTAAGATAAAAACGGGGAATAACCCTAAAACTACATATTATGTCCTTTTTAAAATTTTATATTCTTGTATTTTTTTAATATTTTTTTATATTTTTATTGATAATTTATTTTTAATTCTTTGAAATTTTATAAATTTACCGAGAGAACCAGCTGACATGCAGGAGTCAAAAAAAACGAGGGAGCACAAGGATTCATGAATAAAGCTTTAGATTCGAAATCTTGAATTATTTTTAAGTGTAAAAAAGGAAAATAACTCATCACCCTTTCACTCGAAGCCTTTTTATTTGAAACCCCATCAAATATTGGGTCTTTCTCGACTCCCATTTTCATGTTTCACCACCTTTCAAGCATTTTCTTAATTACAAGAATCCACTTGGGACGTTTTTCTATTGTATATAAAGATGTTATAAACAACATTTCTCGGATGGGGTGAAAGAAGTGAACAAAAAGAGAGCCAGGGACCATAGACGTTTTTACCCAAAAATTACCCTAATAACGAAATATTATCTGTCAGACACTCTTTCTCCAAATATTATTGAATTAGCACATTTTTTGATAAAATACGAGTCATTAAGTGCGCCTTCGAGGGTTCTGTCCGAGCTGACGCCACTGTGGAAAGGCGCGGATCATGAGGAATGCCTTTGCGGGGTTTTGTCCGAGCTGACATCACGTTGGAAGGCACAAATCATAAAGCGCACCTTTGCGGGTAAATCTGACACGTACAAGAAGTCGCATATCATGAGGCGCACCTTCCATTATTCACCTTGAATTATTGCATACTCCATTATTCTCCGAGCCTTAAATCTCGGCTATTAACCTATTCCCTCCCCTATAAATACCCCCGAATGTGAACATCAAACCACGCCAAAATTACTTTTACATTATTCCTTCTATCAATTCCTTATATTAAGCTAAGTAGATTTTGTTATAGTTTTTAGAAGGTAAAATTATTTTTTATTATATTATATTTATTTTATATTTAATTATTTGACCAAATTTTATTGTACTAATTATTTTCTATTATTTTTTGCAATTGTAAAATGGAAGGCGGAATCATATCTCGAGATATTTTGTCGATACGGTAACAATATTAAATTTTGTTATTTAAATTATCGTGATTTTTTTTTATATTTTTTTAGCATTAGTTTATATTTTAATTCGTATATTGTTTATTTAATTAGATGTATTTCAACTATTGTTTTTGCAGATATAAGACTCTCAATCTTTTAAACTCTCAAAATGAGGCATATTTTCAATTAGAGAAAATAACCTCAGTGACCAAAAATCCCATATAATATACGATTTTAACCAACTTTTTCCGGATTTGCCAAAATGACCAACAAAATCGCAATGCGATGGCTAATTCGCAACGCGATCTCCATTATCGCAAATCAGTTTCCAGATTCGCAACGCGATTATGACTATCGCAATGCGATTTTCCAATTTCGCGTTGCGATTTTCCCAATTCGCAATGCGAATAAGTAAATCGCAATGCGAATTTGGAAAATCGCAACGCGGTACTGACTATCGCAACGCGATAATATAAAATCGCAACGCGATACTGACTTTCGCAACTCGATACTTAATTTCGCAACTCAATACTGACTTTCGCAACGAGATAATACATAATCGCAATGCGATTTTCAAAGCGCCAATAGTATCGCAAAGCGTATTTTATTTTCAAATTCCAAACACGAATATTAATATATTGGAACACTGAACCGTCCACAGTATATCCCGTAATCGCAACTCATAACCTAAAACCTAAAATCACAATTCAGTCCCATCTCCATCTCTCACTCTCTCACCCATCTTCGACGAAATCCGTCCCCATCTCCGGCGAAAATCCGTCTATCTCCATCTCTCAGAGCCACCCTCACAATCAGAAATGGAAAATCAACCAAATCAACCACCGAGTGTTAGTTTTTTTTAATTATTTTCTTTTTGAAATTTTTGCATTATTATTAGGTTTTTCATATTGAAATTGATGATAAGTTTACTGGTAATTTCAATAATAGATTAACCATTTCACTTAGATTGCTTATTAAATCAACCGAGAATCGCAACGCGAAATGAAAATCGCAACGACAAAATCGCAACGCGATTTTATTCTCTCGTTGCGATAGTCAAATTCGCGTTGCGATTGTCATTTTCGTGTTGCGATTTTCATTTTCAGAAACTATTCTTCTTCTGCAAATTGAAACTTGAATGAATTGCATTACTTCAACCAAAAAACAAAGACAAATAAGAAATTCACAGTGTTACAAATTTAAGTTTGAAGAATAAACTACTACTCTTTATGTTTATTATTGTTTTTGGTATATCTTCACAGTGTAGTTTTTGGTATATCTAACTTAGTATGTTTATTGTTTTTGTAGAACTTTTATTCGGCTCAATTGACCTTAAGAAATAAAGTCAGCCTGGCCAAAACAATTGCGTCGAAGCTTTCACTTGCACAAAGAAAAATGTTTGAGGATACTTGCTTCGGGCCATGGCTGAAAGTACAACATCCCGGTGGAGATGCGATGTTAACACACCTGTTTCTTCAAACCATGACTAGGGATCTACCAGATACTATAAAACGTCGTGATGAAGAGATATGGTTTGATTTTCCACCGGCGTATACGTGTTTTGGGCGGGAGGAGTTTTGCTTAATCACCGGTCTACGCTTCGGACACGATGATGTAGGTCGGTACACTAGACACATTACCCGCCCATCATGGTTATCCCGAGTTTTTCCTGAGCTGGAGAGGCCGAATCTACACGTGGAAGACCTGATGATATTATAGAATAAGAAAGATGGTTTTACTCGGATGGATGACGTCGATATTGTCCGAGTATGCCTTCTAATACTTTTGCATGCCGGCTTTTTAGGCAGAGAGGCCAGACAACCTATTCCGAATGATCTAATCAAATTGGTAGAAGACCTAAATGCGTGGAACCTGTTTCCACGGGGCTCGTATTTATGGAAAGCTACATGGAATAAGTTATCGTCTGCCTTGGATGATCGAAAAAGTTTGCATGGCGATGGTTCCAAATACACTTTGACAGGCTTTATTTGGGCCTTTAAGGTAAGAATTTCACTTAGATTAACCATTTCACTTAGATTGCTTAATAAATTCATTCGGTTGCTGCCAATACTGCTAAAATGTTTTTGTTAGTATTTTTTTTTGGTTTTGTTTTTGTCTTTTGGTTGAAGTAATGCAATCCATTCAAGTTTCAATTTGCAGAAGAAGAATAGTTTACTTTCGCAACACGAAAATGACTATCGCAACGCGGAAATGGCTATCGCAATGCGAAATGAAAATCGCAACGACAAAATCGCAATGTGAAATGAAAATCGCAACGACAAAATCGCAACACGAAATGAAAATCGCAATTCATTTCGCATTGCGATAGCCATTTCCGCGTTGCGATAGTGATTTCCGCGTTGCGAAAGCAAGTTTTGTGTTGCGAAAGTAAACTATTCTTCTTCTTGAATGTTTATATATGTTGTCCTTTTAAATGTTTATATAAGTGCTTACTTCTGGAATGTTATCTGATGCATTTTGTGAACTATGATAGAATAATGACTTGGGTGAATACAATGCAAGTTTGAAACATATTTGTCTTTGTTTAATATCATGTCTGTTTATTTACTGATTTATGTATTAATTTTTTTTAGCGGCCCAATAAGGTGGATGCTTTACGTCGGGTTTTCCTTGCACGACGGAGTTCACGCATCAGACGGCGTGCACGTGCTATTACGTCTCCGTTCACCCTAATGGTGCGAATACTCCGCAAGAAGAAGCCCGACTCACCTGTCATTCCTCAAGAGTCCCCTCCAATCGTTCAAGAGGCCCCTATCATCCCTCAAGAGTCCCCCCCGTTCAAGAGGCCACTGTCATCGTTGAAGAGGTCCCTCCCACCATTCCAGAGCCCGATTCACATGGGGTAATATATCGAATTATTGAGAAACTCCCACCGTTGCCGGACATGATGGATGAGAGTTGGCTCTCGTATGAGTTACCGGCTAGTACCCTTCCGGTATCTGAAGTGGAGAGGAGACAACTACCAGAAACAATTCTGGATAATACCCTTTGGGCTAAGACCGCAGTTGATTTTTATCTACATGAGCGGAGCCAAGGGTGTTACACTGACATAAGCAAACTCAACGATGAGATGTATTTGTTGCTTAATCGGTCTTGGTGGGGTGTGTTATTAGGGGTTGAAGACAGTGGCTATTTCGATGGGGAGGTAAGTCTTATATTTGACTTATATATGATTTTGATTAATTTTTTTAAAAATTAATGTAATTCACTAATATATGTCTTTTTTTTTTGTAAAACAACATATCGATGCGTGGGTGTCATGTCTTCTAATAATAAGGAAGCTTAGGAAAAATAAAAAAAAATTCACGATATACAATAATGCCGGCGGTTTTTCACGCAGTTCACTTGAAGAATCAACGAGATGAATCATTTTCGTTGGGCAATGGACAAGCTAAACT